CTCCCAGATTTTGATTTTTTATTTTAGTTCGGCATCTCTGGCATTAGAAGAGAAGATGATGATTGGGTAGAATAAACATCTTTTTTATAGATTAGTAGATTTTAACTCATAGTGTAATAAAAAGCTGTGCTTATTCAGTTTTAATTCTACCTTGGGGTTACCACAGACAGCACTACTGGGAGAAAATTATATTCCATAGCTAGGATATAGATATTGTCATGGGGTATCATGTGCAATTGCCACTTGGAGATTTCAGTCAACAGGAGGAATTGCACTGCTTGTACTTAGCAGTAGATTCCATGATTATAAATTTGCAAGAGACAGGATAATTCTTGTTACTGCAATATTTATGCATGATACATGACATGTCGGTAGCTTGACATCACAAATCAGTTAAGATAATATGACTGAGCAGGGCTTGAAAAAAACTTGAATTCCAGCTTGCACTTGGGACAAGAAGTTCTCAAATTTTGCTTGTCCTGGGCAAGTCTTAGTTTGCTTTTTGAATGATTTAGTCTGCAGATGACTTACCTGATCCCCTGCACGACATCAGGCAAGTAAGAATGAAAAGTTACTTGCCCATAAGGAAAATCTACTTGTCCGGGATAATGGGTCCACGATTTTTTCGAGCCCTGCTGAGGTTTTGGCAAGGTTTCCACTAACAGGTTGGATGTTTTTCTTGGACATAAATTCTGTCATCGGATGTTCCTGATGTGTGGGGCCCTTATGTCCTGACCAGACTCGACTATAGCTGCGGCACCTTATGATCAAAGAGACCGATGTCTTCCCCCAAAGCAGGTCATATTTTGCCTAACAGCCTGAAAAATCTTTTTTTTTTTATTTCTGCTGTTGTAATGTCTGCAGGGCTGTACTCAAGACCAAGGCCACAATTTTTCCCAAATAATTTACAGGGACTAACCAAGGCTTGTAAATAATAATAAATTACTTTTTTCTCCATGGTATTTCTTCGAAAGCAACTTTTGTGCTGCACTTTAGTTAAAGCTGTTCAGTTCAAATCTGGTGCTCACATGTGTTTGAAATTTCAAGTGCAAAAAGATTTCAGAATCCATAATTGTTTGACTCAGTGTTGAATGTTTACATTTTGCGTAGTTTTATGTAATGATAAAAGCTTGAAAAGTTGCCAAAGTTGGAAATTTTGGAGCAGTCCGTACTTAGAATTCAGATGGTAAAATCTGGACCACTGGAATGCACAGGATTAGCTAATCAGCCTCAAGGATTTAGGATTTCAGACTGCTAAGAAGCTGAAGAAAAAATAAGTAGTGTTATTCAGGTTCAGCACTCATGCCCCCTTTAGACTTGCCCACCTGTTACTGTTGCATTTTTGTTGAATTTAGTTATAAATAATTGCAGCTCTGAAAGGTATCTGCTAGTTGTTTTATTTCTCTGAAGAAAGATACAGGTCAAATATACCAAAAATAATGTTGTCAGGAGTAGCTATAGGGTGGCACGTGAAATTAAACAACACAAGAATGCAAGCACATGTACCCATAGCAAGAATGTTCAAAATGGCTGGCTAAAATTAAAATTTAAGACATTGTTTTGGAACTTGGTAAAGATTGTTAATGATACTATACTGTACAGTATGTGTTTAGAGTCAAGAACATGTTATGTTATTGTGTTTCAGGTGACGAATTATGCAACAAGAAGAGATGCACCATCCAGGGGCAAGTATGTGTTGTGAATAAAAACAATCATGCTGAATGCAGATGTCGCGACTCATGCCCAGACTCCATTGGAGAAGAAGTTTGTGGTTCAGATGGTATCACTTATGAAAGTAGTTGTCACTTAGACATGACGTCATGTAAGCTTGGTGGCATCACCATGGTTTCTAAAGGGAAGTGCCAAGGTAAGTCTTGTGTATAAGTAATGAAAATAGAGACTTTTGGATCTACGTTTACCATGAACGGCTAGGGGTCATGTGACCAGAGCTAGATGTCATGTTTGAGGTTTTCTAACTCATGTTTTGAACTTCAAGAGGTATAGGTTTTCATGTAAGTCATTTACCTCAAGCTTTATGGGCTTGAATTTATTTTATGCCACAAACAGATGCTGAAATCAAATAAAGTAACCCTTTTTCCACAAATTGGTTATAATTTTCAGGCATATATTAAGCAATTACCTTACCTTTTGTTGCTGTTTGTAGAAAGGCACTAATCCTTGTGGAAATCCAATATGGCAGCAGCTTAAGTTGAATCTTTGTTTTATGATTGATGCTTTTATTTCCTTTTATAATATAGATAGGACCCTGCACACCCTCTGATTGGTCAAAAACCCATTTTTATCAGAGTATAAAACATAGAAAAAGTGTGTTCTATTGTTTTTGCCATATTAGCTCTATATCATAAAGCAAATGAAGTAAGCCTAAGCTGTGGCTTGTGTTTTCTACATTTCCCTCGCATTCTCAAATGCCCGTCATGTTTTTTCACCGTGTAATACATGGCTTAGGCTTCTTTATTTATTTGTTAAAGAAAGTTGAACATGTTAGAATACAGTCATACTTTTTTTATCAATTTTTTGGCATAATTTTGACAATTTCCAATGTATTGACAGGATGATTTCTGTTCGATACAATTTATTCCGACAATCTTTACCTAATAACGTCCAAACTGCAAATGGCAAAAGTGTAACCTCAAATTGCAGTTAGACATTTGTGGTGAACGTGGATCTAAAGGTCTCTAATGTGACGAGCTGATGACTTCACATGCATGTACTTACAGCAGGCCCCAAAACACCCCATAGCTGCCACATATCTCACCTCACCAGGGCTCAAAAAAGTGTCGTCCCGTTATTCGGACAAGTAGATTTTCCTTCTGGCAGTTAACTTTTCATTCTCACTTGCCTGATGAGCAAAGACTTGTCCAGGGCAAGTAAAAGTTGAGATTGAGTTACTTTGGAGAGGTAAAGTCTGCATGCGAGCCAAGTGGCCCATCAGACCAGAGCTTATCCTCAGTGGTTTCTTTAACATGGAGTGACTAGGAGTTTTTCTACTCCTCCATAGATGGGATGCCAGTCCATTGCAGGGTTACCCCCAGCATTAAATTCATCAGTACATTTACACACCTGGATGGCAAAAAGCATTGTGAGAGTTAAGTTAGTGCCTTGCTCAAGAACACAACACAATGTCCCCTGAGCCAGGGCTTGATTGTGGACAACTTGATCTGGGGTCAAGTGCAGTAACCATGAGGTCATTGTGCCTCCCACTTGTCCAAAGGGCAAGCAGTAACTCAAATTTTTTGCGAGCCCTGCTTACAGAACATGTAAATGATAGCACACATTCTGCAATTGTCCAATTTTCAGTGGTAAAAAACTGACAAAATACATGCTGGAAGGTCCCAGAATGGTAAATGCTCAAAAATGCTTTTGTGTGCAAGTTGCCTGAGTTATAATGATAATGTATTACAGTAAAGTGAGCTCTGGAAGTTGAACTGTCCGCAGTCTAAATGTACATATTTTTGCACTTCACAACTCCTCTAAAAGGCATTTTGTCTACCTCTTGGCCATCTGAAAATACAACTATCACAATTTAATATATGTTTTCTAGCCAGACTGGTCAGAATCTTGAAAAATGCATTTTCTGCTGGTATTTAAGCGTCACATTCCCCACTGCATTTTCTGTGTTAAGTGTAGCAGGACGCTTAAAAGGGCAGTTTAAATGTCTCAAATACATGTAAATGCACCTAATGGTCCGTGAAATAGCCTTCTCATTGACGAATTAAAATTATTGTTCATCAAGAAGGCTTTTTCATGAAGGAATCATGGTAAGGGTTTAAAACTTGCAGCAGATTAGGGCTCCCTGCATAAAACTTTGTTGAGCAGCAACCCCCACCCCCACCCCCAATTTCGCAGAACTGGGTGTATTAAATAATTTAATTATTGTGTAACAGCCATAAAATCCATCGTTTATTCGTCTAGATCAACTAGGGAAACGCTCGACGCTGTCCAGTTTACAATACGAAAATTTGTGTTACCGTAACCTTGATTCACGAGTGTTGGTAATGTTCGATCCCTTTTATTCTCTGTAAGTTCCTTAACAAAATGACAGTCCAGTTAGTGTTCCTTTGACCATACACAAGGGAAATAACAACGCAATCAACAAAAACGTGTAGTGCTGAGGTTTGACCCAAACTGGAATGAACCTCGATCAAATCATGTGTCCTAAACGCTCGGATGGACTGGTCCGATTACACAGGATAACCAACAAATGAAACTGGCATTTACAAATTGCAACAGCATGTGTACACTTGTCACAGTTCACATGGATTCTACCCTCCTCAAAAACAAATCAATTAAAAGTAAGTTTCTAACTGAGAAAAAAATTCACCATTGTGGCCTGGATGTGAAAAAAAAGCCAGATGTCTTCTACTTGTGATCATAATACTTAGAGGAGCCAGATATTAATCACAACAAACTTTGAATATTTTTTACTGATGCTTCAAGCTTCAAGAAGATTTGCATGTAACTTGCAAAACACTAGAATATTTAAAGATGAAAAAATTCCTCAGCTGACCAAGTCATAGCGTGGTCTTTAATATACTTGTCATGACTGATTCTTGTTGGTGAATATGCAAATTATTGTTTGTATTAAAATTGTTCTGTTTTAATCTCCAGACCAGGAAAATTAAGTAATAAGCAAAAAATTTGTCTCGGCTTTGGACCGACTGGCATGGTTGATTTACAATCTTTTGTTGGTTTCAATCATTGCTGTTTGTGGAATTCTTTTAATAATATCTTGTTTATATTCCTCTTCAGTGATTTCCTTAAAGGTCAGCCCAACACATCAGTCTTCACAAACCCTGATAATTGGCAAACCAGGTGAAATTCAGTGTGGGATTG